GAGTTTCTTAGTCGAAACCTCTACACGCGGACGCCGATGCGGTTTAAGGTGATCAACCCCACGAAGATGAACTACACCTTCGAGTGGCAGGATTTAGGGGATTCGGGGAGCACCTTCTCCCCGTTCCGCTGCCTCACCCCGAGCGGCCACCTCCACGCGGAGCGGCAGGTCGAGATGGGGTTTGAGTTCTGCGCGGATGAGCTTGGCGTGCGGGAGGCGCGGTGGGCGTTTAACCTGATCGGGCAAGCCTCCATTCCCTTCCTGCTCGCCGGTAAGGCGGTCGATCCGGAGGTGTTTTTGAGCACGAGCAAGGTGAACTTCGGCGTGGTGATCGTCGGGAGCAGCGCGACGCAGACGGTGATGCTGGAGAATCGGGATCACCTCCCGTTCAACTTCGCCTTCGACATCCTCGAGGAGAGCGAGGTCCTTAACGTGCTGTCGGTGAAACCAACCTCCGGGGTGGTGGAGCCGATGGAAAAGGTCGCGATCTGCGTGACCTTCTCGCCGAACGAGGAGATGGTGTACAACATCCCACTCGTCTGCAACATCAAGAAGTCGAGCACCTCGTTGAGCATCAACGTCAAGGGCGAAGGCGTCTACATCCACGACTCGCTCATGGTGGAAATCCCTGAAATCGGGCGAATGGCGGGTTCGATGATCAGCCCTGATGTCGGCAACGCCGATCCAATGCCTGTGACGCGAGGGGAGCCGTTGCATCTCAACCTCGGGCGCGTCCAGCTCGATACCTGTGCGATCCGGCGGTTTGTGCTCTCCAACAACGGCCATCACCCGTTTAATTTCAAGGTCTTGGCGCCGCCAAATTATCCGTCGGTGTCATTGGAGAACTGCGAAGGGGTGGTGCCCGCGAAGGAGTCCACCGCGATCACGCTCACCTACCGCCCGACCGCGGAGGAGACGCTGCAGCGGTATAAAATGCGTTTCCGTATCGCGGATCGCCCGGCCTATCAGGTGATCCTGCACGGCACCGGCTACGTTCCGAAAATTCATCTAAGCTTCACCTCGTATAACTTTGGGCCGCGGTTTATCACGATGTACAACCCCAATCACGAGGTCACCACCACGCTGAACGTGAGCAACACCGATCGAGAACCCATCTCCGTTCAGCTGGTCTTCTTCGAGGATAGCGAGAAGATCTTCCAGGTCGAGCCGAGCTTTCTCGCGTTGCAACCAAACGAGATGGCGAGCGTGACGGTGAGCTTTAACCCGAAGGAGGTTCGGGTCTACGAGAATCGCCTCAAACTCACCGTCAACGGCGCCTTCCCGACGGTGGTTTCCTTCCGTGGGGAGGGGGAGATCCCGCATGTGGATGTGGTGAATCACTTTGCCAAACTCGGCGTCGCACGGGTCGGGGGCAAGCGGCAGGTGGAGGTGCGCCTGGAATGTCGAAGCCGCCTCGCCACCCCGGTTTCTTTCGACAACTGCATCGATGAGGATTTGATCGAGAAAGGGATTTCCATCTCGACCGACGCCGCCCCGCTGAACACCCTGCCCTCTTCGTTAGGCTCGACCGTTCACGAAGGGGGGGAGAAGGCGGCGGCGGCGGCGCTCGCGCCGCGCCCGTCGACGATGCTGCTTCTCAAACCTCGCGAGACGAAAACCGTGACGATCACGTTTCAACCCCTCCGTCGGATGGGGGAGTTTCAGCGGAAACTCCGGATGCAGGTGTGTGGCCGGGAGGCTCTTTTCGCCGTCATCTCCGGCGCCTGTGAGGGGAGTGAGATTCACATCGACACCTCCCACCTCCGGTTTGACGACGTCGTCGTCGGCTCCTCCGCGACGCGGCGGCTGATTATTATGAACAGCGGCGACATCGCGCAGAAGTTCACCTGGCGCGGCCTCCACCGCGGCGAAAGCGAGCTCTCCGTGCACCCGATGAGCGGCTTCCTTCGCGCGCACACGGAGGTGGTTTGCCTGCTCACCTACTCCCCGCAACGCGCGGAGAGTGTGCTGCAGCGAAGCTGCGAGATCGCCTTCGAGGACGCGCCACCGTTGGAAGTGGTGGTGAGCGGGAACGCCGTCGGGCGGCCCGCCGCGAAGGACGTCCTCAGCTTCGCCTGCCGCGCCCGGGAGACCTGCACGCGCGAGGTGAGCTTTGAGAACCCTTTAGGGAAGCCGTGGGCGCTGGAGCCGGTGATTGACAACGCGTTGTGGTGCGCGCCGCGGCAAGTGGTGGTGAAACCTTTCGCCACCCTCGCCCTTCCCGTCACCTACGCCCCGATAAAACCCACGACGACGACCGCGGAGGAGAGTGGGGGGGGAGGGGGAGGAGGGCCGAATGGGAAAGTCGGCGCCCTTGGAGGGGGGGGCGGGGGGGTGGATCTCGGCACGCTGTTTCTGCCGCTTCCGGATGGGGCGGGGTTGAGTTACGTCTTGGAAGGCCGCGCGGAGGCCGCCGGTCCGGTTGGGCCCCCCCTCCACGTCGAGGTCGAGGCCAAAACCCCACAAAGCCTGTCGTTGAAGGTGGAGAATTGGGCGCCAACGCCGCTGCGTTTCGTCCGTGAGGTGAGTTGGTTTCCGGAGCTCGAGGAAGGGGTGATCAGCCTCGGCGAGGCGACGCCCTCCGGCTCGAGCACCACCACCCTTGAGGTCCGCGCGCAATCCAGCAAGGAGGCGGTCATCACCCTCACCTGCATGCGGGAAGGGTTTTATCGCGGCACGATCGCCTTTAACTGCCCGGAAAAACCGGAGATGCGGCAGTACTACGAGGTCGAGCTGCGGGTGTTGCCGCCGTCGTTGAAGTCGGTGATCACGACGGAGCTCTACGCGGCCGCGCAGACCGCCGCGGTGCATCACCTGCCTCTCAGCAACCCCCTCGGCAAGGCGGTCCTCTTCACGAGTCGGGTGGAGCTCGCGACGAGCTCGGCGGGGGGGAATCCCGCGCTCGTGGACTTTTTTACCGCCCCTTCGTCGATGGTGGTGCCGGCGAAAAGTGCGGTGAACTTCCCGGTGAAGTTTGTCCCGCTTTTTTGTAAACCATACCCCTCGGTGCGGTTAATTCTGTCCTCGGAGGAGCTCGGGGTCTCGCAGTATCTTTTCAAACTCACCGCGGGGCCGCAGAGTGCGGAGCCCGTGACGCGGCTGGTGTGCCCGCTCGGCCAGTCCGTGACGTTCGTCCTCCGCTTCACCTTCCTCGGGCGGACCTCGACGGAGTTCGCGATCTCCGTTTCGGGGAGTAAACTCGGCGGGAGCACCGCCTCCGCGCAGGGGGCGGTCTTCACGAAGTTGACGCCCGGCGGGGGGACCTTCAAAGTCACCCCGGCCGCGGGCGCGCAGTGGCCGAAAGGGCAGGACGTCGCCGTGGAGTTCAGCTACGAGCCACAGAGCATCGGGACGTTGACGGAGACGATCGTGTTTAGCTCGCCGGTGGGTGGGGTGTTTACGTTTCCCGTCGTGGGCACCTGCACGCCGCCGCAGCGGCAAGGACCCGTCTTGTTGAAACCCGATTCCACCACCTCCATTAGTTTTAAAAACGTCTTTCCCCACTTCATCACGATCGGTATCATCACCGACCCGAGCCAGCACTTCGTTGTCAATAAGAAGTCGGATACGATCGCGCCGAAAAAAACCACCAATCTCGTCGTGCAGTGCAAGATGGAAGATAGCATGGATACGTGTTATGGCAAGCTGATCATCTCCTGCACGCCCGCGGGTTCAACGGAGCCGATTGAATGGGTGTACTACCTCGAGGCGAAGCGCGCGGACGGCGTGAATCTCAATAGACGATCCCTGGTGGTACGTAAAAAGTGACCGGGCGAGCGACTGAAAAACGCAAGCAACTAACAATGATCACCACCAGAAAAGAAACAGAGTGTAATAGATGCTGCATGGCGGAGGGGGGGGAAGTCGGTGATGGAATGGTCGTCTTTTTAATCGTGTTGTTCCTCCCTTCTTGTCGAACTGCATGGATGCAATCCGCTACAAAAACCCAGGTGGATTTCCTTGATAAATGGGGAAAAGGGGTTCATTTGCTTGAGGTGTAGATTCCGATTTAAAGAAGAAAACAAACAATTCTCAAATATCGTTTGAGGCAAACAGAAGCTCATACGCAGGGAAATGAGGAGGTGTGAACCACACCGTTTGTGAAAAACAACGGTGTGGGCGGTGAATTTCAGAGCAAGATAGGTGTTCCCTCCACATTCAATTGAGGTTCCATTAAGAAAATTATATAAGCATTAGAGTTGTATTTATTGGTGTCAAGAGACATTTTAGGATCGTCCTTTTTATCACGTCTCTTTTTCAATGCAATGTACCATGAAGTTTATTGTTTTGAATTGTCATTTTTTCGATGTTTCATTAGCACAGATGTAAGATTTTCGATTCCTGATCCTTAAAAAAAGGAAAAAATATATAAGGCATGTAAGCATGCCGTCGCCAGTACGACGAAAGACCAATGAAAGTTCGAGCGTCGCTTTCGTGGTTGGTTTTGTGTTTTTTATATGTTTATAAATTTGCCCAATCATATTTTACCCTCCTAACGACTCTTCTTTTTCCAGTTATTTTGAACACTGTCGAGAGGGGATCCCCTGCATAGATCAATTAAATTTCTCCCCCCCTCTCCCCCGAAAGCTCGGGGCGAATCATTTCTCCTAGTGTGTGCGAGACCAACCTTATAGAAGGTCATTTCCACGATGGAAACAGGTGTTTTAGAGCGTATTCGCAGCTTTGAGGCGGATATCGAGCAGGCAATTGAGAGCATGCTGCAGCAAGAGCTTATTAAGACGCGCGTGAAGAACGACCGACATCGCATCCTCATCGATCACTTCTTGCTTCAGCAGCTCGACGGGATTCGATCCACCAGCGAGAAGCTGTTGGATGCGTATTTTGACGAGGATGACATCATGGACGCGCGGGAGGCCCCCGTGGACGGCGCGGAGGTCCTCGCGACGGCGATGAAACGTTTTGAAGGCCGCATCGCGGATATTCGCGAGTACCACCTCGCCTATCGCGATCTCCCGCCGGTGAAAAAGCGACTTTCCTTTCCCGACCCCAAAGTCCTCGAGCGGGTCTTTTCCCTCCGCGAGCGCTGGGGGGCCTGTCTGGACTTGGAGCCCCATTACAACCGGTATAGCGCGTTTATGGTGCAGACCGGGATCCTCGCGACGAAGTACGCGAACGCGCGCCGCGGAGGGGGGGAAGAAGGGGGGGGGCCGCTTCCCACGACGGCAGCCGACGAAGGCGAAGGCGAGGAGGGCAACGGGCCGTCGCTCGCCGCGGTGCTCGGTGGGCGTCTCGTGCGTTGGGCCGCGGCGTGGCCGGGGCGGGTGGGGTTCTTCGATTATCTCGGCGACCTCGCCAAGGGCGCCCGGGGGGGGGATCCCGGCGGCCCGCAAAGTCGTCGGCTTCGCGGCCTACCGCGCGTACGTGGAGGGGCTCCTCGGGTATCTGCTCGACTTCCACGCCCGGCGCCACCCCCTCGACCGCGACGACGTCGCCCACCTCCTGGCGGACGCCGTGGGCCGCGCGGAG